TATGTTACACCAGAAAAGTTTGAATATTGGAAAAAAGTAGGAGATAGCTTAGGATTTTTATATACAGCCTCAGGACCTTTGGTCAGAAGTAGTTATAAAGCAGGAGAATTTTTTATTAGCAATATTTTACGAAAAAGGCAACAGGAGCTTGGCGCAGAATCCGGTGTTATTTAATTATCGTGCAAACTCTTATGATCATAGATTTTTCTTGTTATTTTTTTGTACGTTATCACGTTAGCACAACAATTTCGAATTAAACTCAATTAGCCAACCACGACTTGTAAATCATGATCATAATTGCACGATAACATCGATATTGGATCATGTTATGATAAATATCACAAAATTTGTTACGCCGGGGCTGAAACCGTCGCAACGCGGCACATGTCAGCTAATCATTGCTCTGACAGAACAAATTTCATAATATTAATCGTTGCATGACCAATAACTTATAATTATGAAGCTATTAAATATTTGATACTAAAATTAAGGAAGCCGTAGGTCTAATGCATTTAATGCTATAAAGTTATATTCACTAGTTATTAGGTTAAAAAAGCCAATTTAAAATCAAAATAGTAATTAGAGATAAATCCAATGAAGTTTATACTTACTAATCATTTAATCGAAGAATGTGAATGTGAGCATTAGATTTTAGTTTACATTTATCTAAGAATTTTTGTTGCAATTAGAAAAATATTAGACTATTATTCTTGATCTAATTTCAATATTATATTTGGATACAATATTATATTTGGACACACTTCCCTTTTTATTTAAACAAAAGACTAAATATATATATGGATGTGAGTCAGTAGAATTACAGCAAATTGTTTTTTATTGAAATTTTTTAAAAATTTAAACAATAGCTTAACAGAAACTTAGTCAAATTTAATAAAAAATTTTTTAAATAAATTTTATAAGTTTGTAGAATTTATTTAAAAAATCTTATATTAAATTTGATTAAGTTTTTGTTAAGTTAGTTTTGTTTAAAGGTTTAAAAAATTTACTTAGAAAAGATTTCTTGGTTTCTACTGACTCAACCCCATATATATATTTTTTTTACTCCAATTTTTATTGGGAACTTATTTGCATTGTATTTATTACTACCTCTTCAAATCACTGTAAGATGTGACATAGCTACGGCCGGGGTTTAAAATTAACTTAGACACACTAATAAAAAGTTTCCCTTAGTACTAGAGATGGGCAAAGTAATTTTGTAAGTAATAATGACCTATGACTTATCACTTACTTAAGTAATATTAAATAATTATTACATTCAATTATCTATTACGTGTACATATAAAACACATGATAAAAGTCGGAGAC